TAGCCCCGGCCCCGTTGCCAGGCAGTAAAGCGAACACTTGTCCGCCTCGGGGGGGAGGGAGCTGGGAGACGGGGAAGGGTCAGGAGAAGAGCCCCGGGGAAAACATCCCTCCTCTGTCCCACCAGAGAGCTCCCTGAGGGCTTGGGGTGCACAGGGAGGGAGGTGAGGGCGGCTGCGGGAGCTTTACTCCATCAGCTTGGGAGCCTGGAGACACAGTGTGGGTTTGGAGATGATCCTTGGTGTGGAGTTGCCCTCTGGATTGCGCTTCCCATGCCCAGGATGTGCCAGCCTGCTCTCCACAGCGCTGAGATGCACTCAGCTCTTTCTCAGTCGCTCCCGTGGTGCCAGCACCCTCCTGCCAGGGCCAAGGATCCACGGGGTGACCCATGGCTGCAGCTGGGGGATACCCTCACTGTCACCATCCCCTTCCTGCCTGACCATGGTCCGTGCCCTCTGCCTCCTCCTTTGGCTCTGTGAGGGCTGGAGCAGGGACAGGGTGACGTGAGCCCAGCAGCAGCAGGGCAGTTGCTCATTCCCAAGCCACGGGTGCAGGGTTGACAGCAAAGCAGCATTTTTCCACTGCCAGCCTCTCGAGGACCTGGTGCTGTCCCCCCTTGCAGCGAGTGGCAGTGGATGAGAAGATGACCAAGTGCCAAGACAACTCAATCTGGTGTCCTCACTCCCTGGGGCTCATTGCTGGCATTCACTGCCAGCCTCCTCCTGCACCCCTTGGGCTGTGCCTGGTTCTTGGCTCATCCCCACACCAGGATCGTGGCCTTGGTGGGATTCATCATCTGGAGATGGCTCTGAGTGGCCAGGCTGGAGCTCCCAGTACCTCCTGGCAGGTTGGTCAGTGCCAGTTTAGTATTTTCTTGTCGGTCTGTACCCTTCAGCACAGAAAATTTAAAATTCTCAGCATCCAGGATTCCAACAAGTCAGGATCTGCTCAGGCTCCTCCCGAGCCGTGATCACAACATGGGGTGAGTGGGGCAGGTCTGTGCACAGGTGTGTTGGAAAACCCAACATCCCTGTGGATGCTGCCAACGTGGGCTCACTCAGTGGCTGCCCCTGCCCCTCTCACTACATCCCTGGTGCAGGCAGGGACGGGAGCAGAGCTGCCTCACCTTCCCTGCCACCCCAACCCAACGCTCGGCGATTGAGATTTGTCCATCAGGATTTAATATCGGCGTCCCCGCCTCGGGAGGCTCCGCGGGGCCGCCTTTGTATGCGGGGCACGCAGACAGACAGCAGCCGGGAAGCGCCCGTCAATCACGGCCCCTTTCAGCCTGTCACCTCCGCAGGAAGGGGGAAAGAGGAGCTGCTGGCTCTGCTGGGAAACGGGGCTGCCCGCGCTGCGCCCCGGCCATCGGGAGGTGCAGCATCCCAGAGGTGGTTTTGGCCGTGTGTTGGTGTTTTTTTAGGTTTTGGTGGTGCTGCGTGGATGGGAAACTCCTGGTGAGAGGTTTGGGATGCTTTTTTGGGAAGGAGGAATGGCATGGAGAAGTGGGGCTGCATGCTGGGGGATACGCCTAACGCCGCCAGAAATGTCGCGCTTTTGGAAATGCCCAAATATTTTGCTTCAAAACAGGATGAGAATGTGCCGCCAGATGAACACAATACAAATACAAGATTTTCTTGAAAGGCACCACCAGTCCCTTTCAGCTTCAAAACTGCAGGTTGTCTCTAAGGAGACCTAAACTTAAAAAAAAAAAAACCCAACAAACCACCAAACAAAAAACCAAAAAAAAAATCAACCCCCAAGAATAGGAATGTTTTTGAGATCAGACACAAAAGGCTATGTGTTGTCATAAAAATTGCTCCCATCACTATCTTTTTGTTCCAGTTCCTCCTAAAGTTGAGCATGTTGAGCGTGTTTATTTACAAATACTCACTGTCAGTGCTTCAGTGAGGTGTTTACTGAGCTGCTGGTGGCAGCCTGGTTCTCCACCAAGCATCCCAATCATCCTGGCCAGCTTCCCACCTGGCTAAACAAACCCAGTGCTGCCAGTCAGGCCTGACGTAGCTTTGGAACTCCAGGTTATGAAGGGAAAAAAAAACCCACCCTACTGAGAACTAAAGCATCCCTAAAATGCTATAAGTGAAGCAGGAGAGAGCTGGGCATGCAGCTGAAGGTCCCAGAGGTGGAGGAAAACCTCTCTGGATCCAGGCTGGTGTGTCTCACTCAGGCTAAAATGTTAAATTAATTGCTAGAGTCTGGATCTCAAGGATACAGGCTTATCTCAAGGGAGTTGAGACACCAGCAAGACCCTTTGCTCTCTCTCCATTACTACCTGTGCCAGATCGTGTTTTTAATGCCTGTGACCTTTTAGTGCCTGAGGTCTCAGTTTATTGTGTGTTTGTAAGGAGCTCTCTTTGGTTTCATACTGTGGAAGAGGTTTTATGGGGATTTCTCTGCAGCTCACATTGCCCAGGGATGGGGGAGTCCTGCACTGGGCAGTGAAAGACACCTGGACTGAATGGCTTCCCTCAGTGGGAGCTGCTTTGGAAATATAATCATTTATTCAGCAACCAAGGAATGGCTTAAGTCTCTGATATCAGGCAGCCATTTACCAAAATCTCACACCTTCCTGCTGTGCAGCACGCTTTGGGCCTGGAAACATCCACTGCTGGGGTGGTGCTGCTGTGCCTGGTTGGCAAAGGCTTGTGGCTCTCTAATAAGTGCCTGGGAAACAAATTTTGGGCACATTTATTCCTGGAGATTAGATGGCAGTAATGCAATATCTTATCAATGTTTTATTACTGAGAGCAGTTGGTAATCCCAACAGGTAGGGCTTAAACATCATTTAAACAGGATGAGAATGTGTTGCCAGACGAATACAAATAGCCTCCACTTTGACATAAAAGAGACATAATTAAAGATGAAGTGACTACAGAAATATTAACTCAAGCCAGTGTATGTCTGAGCTGGAACAAGAAAAAAATGACCCTTCAGAAGGGATGCTTTCAAGGGAATGCACATCCCTCTCTTCGCAGGGCAGTCACAGGGATGTTGGAAATACATCTTAGGGACAGGCAGTTGTAGGTAAACTTGGGGAATTAAAGCTGGATGTAGAAAATTAAAAGCTACTAATGGCAATTTGAACTCCCTAACCTTGTTATTTGATGATTTCCCACTTTCTGTGGTGATGATTGCGTTTTATAAAAGCTTTTTAACACCCCTTTCCTACTTCTTTGGGAATGCCACGTTTTGCTGAGCGTGCCCAGGATTTGGCTGGCAAAGGGAGAGTGTTGCACCAGACCCTTGTGCTTGCCAACACTGTTTGGGAAAACCTGGGAGGAAATAGGCACTTTTTCAAACAATCCCTATTTTCTGATGGTTTTCCTGTGAGGGTTTTGCATATATCTGGTCCTCTGCTTGTCAGAACGGGGCTGATTCAGCGCATTTCCTATGTGGGTTTTTGTGCTGGCTGAAAAAAAAAAAAAGGGGGTTGAAAGCTCGGAGGTAACCTCTGCAGGATGTGTGCTGACTTTTGACTTCTCTTTCTGGGCCAAAGTCACCAAGACAGGGGAATAGTAATGTCCAGTTCCCACAGATATTTCTGGGTAAACAAGTGGGGTTTTTTCTATGTGATGTCCGAGCCAAGAACTCAAATATCTGGGTGTGGCAAAGAGATTCTGGTTTGATACCTTCAAAAATCTCTGTTGGTCATCCCATTTACTGAAAATATCTGGCCCTAAGGTTAATTCCAGGTTCCTCCAAGTCCTCTGAAGCCAGCACTCATGCTGCCACCTCTGCTCCTCTCACCTCAGTTTCCCCCAGCTGTAAATCATTGATCATTCTCAGTAAGGACATTTAAACTGGGAGAAAGAAAAGCTCTGTTCCAACCTAAAGTGTTATTGCTGTTGTTGTTATTATTATTGGCTTTTAAGTCTAGAGCCAGTCTTGAAACCTGGGAACGGTTTAATTAGGGATGCCTCAAACGCTGTCACATCAATGTCAAGGAACAAGCTGAGCTTTTCCTTTTCCTTTTGACACATCAAGTCTTCAGTCTGGCACTGGCCTTAACCCCAGATTTGCTGTCTTGGAGATTTTTATGATATATCAGACATTCCTGATGTGTTTCTGATTTCTGTGATATTTATTATGAAATTCCTGATTTTTGTGATATATTAGACATTCATGATGTGCTTCTGATTTCTGTGATATGATATTTATCATTAAATTCCTGATTTTTGGGATATATTAGACATTCCTGATGTGTTTCTGATTTCTGTTATATGATATTTATGATGAAATTCGTGGTTTTTATGATACATTAGACATTCCTGTGTGTCCATTCCTGTGCAAGTGGGGATGGGGTGACCCAGGCCAGAGGGATGGGGTGGTTTGTGGGTGAGGGAGGTGGGGATACTTTTTCCTGGTGCTTGTGGAGAGACAAAGATGAGCTCCCTGACTCCACTGCTGCCTCCAGCATCTCCTTGGGTCTCGGCATGAGCCAGAGGGAGGTGACAATGGGGAGTTGGCTTGACAGAACTCATGTGGGGCTGGTACTGTCCTGTGGTGGTGGTTCCTGGGCTGTTGGGTTTGATACCTTTGTTTTTTGGGTGTTGGGTTCTTCATCACTTGACCACATGTATGGTAAGCTTGACAGAACTCATGTGGGGCTGGTGCTGTCCTGTGGTGGTGGATCCTGGGCTGTTGGGTTTGATACCTTTGTTTTCTGGGTGTCGGGTTCTTCATCACTTGACCACAGGTATGGTAAGCACTTGGTGAGCCCCAAAACTGCTAAAGTTGGCCCAAAAGCAGCACTGATGTTGACTAACTAAAGTTGACCCCATTGGCACTGCATGACTGTGCGGCACTGAGAGCACGTCCCCTGTCACTGCGCAGTGCCAGCACCGCTGTCCCCAGCCCCTCAGTGCTCCATGGGGGTGACACATCGCCGCTGTGCTGATCCACGTCCCCACCGTGGCTCCCCCACGCCTTGTCCCAGCCCCGCGGGGTGTCACGGCGGGCTGTCCTCTCGCTTGTCCCGCAGGCTGTTCGCGGTGAAGTGCGCGGGCTGCCTGGAGGCCATCGCGCCCAGCGAGCTGGTGATGCGCGCCCAGAAGAGCGTCTACCACCTGCACTGCTTCTGCTGCTGCGTCTGCGAGCGGCGCCTGCAGAAGGGCGACGAGTTCGTGCTGAAGGAGGGGCAGCTCCTCTGTAAGGGCGACTACGAGAAGGAGCGGGAGCTGCTGAGCTTGGTGAGCCCGGCTCTGTCGGATTCTGGTAAGGGGCCGCCCGCGCCCGGCGTCTCCCTGGCTGGTCCCGCTCCCAGGCCCCTCCGGGGTCTGGAGGTGAGGTTTGGGCTCGCTGCCCTGAGCTTCTGCCCTTTGGTCTGAGAGGATGAGCTCTGTAAGATCCTCCAGCACCTCGGTGGTGAGGGCTTGAGCAGGGAGCTCAGCAGTGAGGGGCTGCAGGGCTGGAGGATGCTCTGTGACCATCCCACCTGATAAGGCTCATTTCTGGAGGGGTTTGTGCTCCTGGCCTCTGCAGAGCACCCAAGGGGTGTGCAGCTTCCCCGGATGTGGCAGGGAGAGCTGGCCACTGACTAAACCTTGGGCTAAACCTTTGTCCCTCCCCTGTGCCTCAGTGTCCCTGCCTGGGGCTCTGAAAAGGCTGAGAACAAGAAGTGAGCTGCTTCTGCTGTAGTCACCCCTTTTAACAACAAGGGGAAACTGAGGCACAGAGCTGAAACATGAGCTGGCAGCAGGGAGTCTGCAAACCTTTTGTCCCCAACAGCTTCTGAGGCAGCTGATGGGCAGAACCAGCCTGCTGACCCATCATGGGGACACTGTGGGGACACTGCAGAGCCGAGGGGGCTGCAGGAGAGGTGGCCCTGTGGCTGGAAGTGGGCAGTGGGCCAGCATCCTGCTCCAGCTAGGGTGTCACAGTCAGGTTAGGTTGCCCAGGGCATCAGACCAGCATTAAAATATGTTATCTGCAGTCAATGCAAATTAAACCTGAATGTTTCCCAGGAAGACAAATTTAGTAAGAAAGCCCAGCGCTGGGGACTGGGAGGGTGGAAATGATCTGATGATCTCCTAGCCGAAATCCTCAGGATAACACCATCCCCACAGAGCCCTGCTCCTCACCAGTCTCTCAGTTCCCTTTAAAATCCCTCACTGGGGAGAAGTCTGCTTTGTGGAGGGAAAGGATTTACCTTTGAAATTCTCTGCTCTGGAAAAGATTGCCAGCAGCTGTGGTGGGAGGGCAAATGGGAATGTCTTTTCCCTGCTGGAGCAAAGCACTGGATTAAAAAAAAAAGTAAAAATCAAGATTAGGAGTGTGTTGTTAAGGTGTGAAGCATAGACACAACAAAGCCTGGTGCTCTCTGTCACTGGAGTGCTGTAACTGGGAGAAGATTTGTGAAGGGATGGGGATGGTTTTCAGAGATAGGGAGCAAAAATTGCCCAAAGCCTGTATTTCTCTTTAATATTGAGCTCCTCTGCAGCGAAAGCCCATCTGTCTTGCAGCACTGGCTGTGTGGGTTATGTGTGAGCCCTGCAATCCTGCTTGCTCAGGCCAAAAAAGTCCTTCTTCCTTGCAATTAACAGTGGTGATGTTTAAAAATCAGAGTGAGTCCATGGGTGGAGGTGGCTGGGGGGAGCTGGTGAGTGATGGTCCAGCACTGGAGGAGCTGGAGAGGCAGGAGTGCAGGAGGATCCAGCCCACTGGCACTGGCTCTTCCCTTAGCCCTAGGAAAGTCCTTAACTGATTGAAGAATTACTATTTTTTTCTCTGGGATATACAAACCCTTTTCAGTTAAAATAGGAGCCAATGAGGAGATGTCACGTGGAAGAGAAAGCAGATCAGCCACAATGGTTTGGGTTTGTTCCTAGTGGGGGAAAAGGGCATTTGGGGAAAGGTTGGGGAGCTTTTCCTCCCCAGCGACTCATCAGCCTGTGGTCCAGCCCCAGGGCCAGCAGCTCCGGCCAAACCAAGAGCCTCAGCTTAGCAAAAACCTCCAGGGGAAAAACTTATTTTGGTGGAAACTCCAGCTGAGACCTGAGGGATGTGAAGGGCCAGTGTGGGAGTCAAAAGGGCAAGGCAACCCCTTGGCTGAGCAGAAACCTAACCCAAAGCCCCTGACATGGCCTGGCAGGCTCTGACTGGGGGGTCCCAGCCCCTGCCATCTCCCCACAGACCCCATAGCTTGTCCCATCCACAATCCCTGTCTGCTTCTGGTGACTCCCAGCTTTGTTGCATGGCTCTGGGGACAATGACCCAGCAGGGACCAGCCCAGGTACACATCCCCGGTGGATGCTCAGTGCGTGCTGGCTTCTCCTGCCCCCAGACCCCAGTGCCGTGCCAGGAGATGCAGAGTGGTGTCCCCTCTCCGGATGCCCCTCACCAGCAGCATGTGATGAGCTCCTCCAGCCTCTTCCCTGTCCCCCCCCCGGCTGCTTTGAAGCCCCCCAGGCTCTCTCCCTCCCTCCCCCCGGCCGCCGCACACCAAGGGCCACTTTATGAGAAAGCGCAGATAAAAAGCGAGCCATATGTTGTCTGTAATCTCCCAAACCCTCGCTTCAATTACTGCCTCCCCCGAGCCTCCGCCGCCCAGCCTAAGTAAACAAGCCCCTCTGAAAGAGGACCCTGCTTTCCAATTAAAAACGTCCTAACGTTTCTGCTCTCCCTAAATCCTCCCGAGCGAGGAATGTCCTGGCCCCGGCGGCGGGATGTGGGCCCGGCAGGTCGGAGCGGGGGCACGCAGCACAATATCCACAATATCCATCGCCCCGGCCCCTTCCCAGGTGACGTCAGGGCAGCCCCAGACACTCATTAATTTCTCCCCCCTCCTCAGTGGGGAAAGGCTTGAAAGGGAGAGTTAATTAAAAGTAATACCCCGCCAAATCCGGCTTCACTTTTCCTTCTTTCCCTTTGACACTGGGAGGGATTTGGGGAGCAGGTGTTGGTGGGGGGAGGGCTTGGAGAGGCTGCTCTGAGCGGGTTTTCCCCCTTGGAGGGGGTTTTGAGCATCATGGAGCTGATGGAGCCCATGAGCCTGTGGCTCTGCCGTGCTGGGCTGCCATGCTCTGCTCCTCCTGGGCTGGAGGGGAGTGGGGTGCTGACCTCATGCTCGGGTGCAGATGGGCTCAGGCACCAGTTGACATTCCTTCTCCCACGATTTGTAAAAATCTCTGCCTTTCCATCCAAAATTAAACTCCTTCAGCATTCAGGAAAGCCAGCAGCTTGGCAGAGCAGGGACCTGGCACTGGGAAGGAGGCAGCAGCAGCAGCAGGAGCTCCTGCTCAGCCCCATCAGCCACCAGAGGCTCCACAGCTCGGGTCTCCCCTCATCAGGGTTCTTACACTGCTCCAGTGTGGCATCCCTCAGCCGGGACGTGCAAGGAAACATCAGTTTGTCCTTCCTGTTGGTGTGGGAATGTCATGGGTGTGCTGGGAGTAAGAAGGGAGCTGGAGCAGCAGCAAGGCTCTGGTTCCCAGGGCCAGACCCAGCTCCCGGCTCTTTGGGGACTGCCAGCACCAAGAGCTCTCCCTGCCCACTAACAGGGAAGGTCTCCTGGCTGGAGCCCAGGAGAGAGCCCAGTAGTCTGGAGAGGACAGGTAACTGGTGCCTGAGAGCATTCTTGCTGCTCCTCTGGGATCTTTGCCTCCCCTCACCCTGGAGATCTGCTCCCGCCTTTCCTCATTCCCATCTGGGCTGGCGTTGGATTGAAACTTTCCTGCTGTGTGTGATCTTGCTGTGGGGTTTGACCTGGCCTGTTTTCCCCATGAATTACCCTGAGCCAGGCTCACACTCCCTGGTACATCCCAGAGCCACGGCAGCCCTGGGATGGACTTGGGCCAAGCACAGCCTTGCAGAGCCCGCATCCGTATCCAGCCAGCACCTCAGCTCCATTAGCCATTCCCAGATGAACACTGGAGGAGCTTTCTGGAAAAGGCTGTAAGTGATTTATAGCTAGCCAGGGGGAAGGTGCTGTCAAACCTGCATCACAACCCTTCCCACGTGGGCTGAGCAAGCAAGGTCATCAGCAGGGGAGGTGCAGTAAATGAGGAGAGCTGGGAAGAGGCACTGTCCACTTTCCCGGAGCAGCTCCTGCCCAAAGGCTCCATGCCCTGCGTGGTGGAGAGCAGCGGGGAGATACACCCCAGTGCCTGGGAACACAGTGGGGCAGCACATCACAGTGAGTACCTGAGGGGTGAAGGCTCAAAGACCCTGGGTTTCTCTCCAGGGAGATTTAAAACTCCACAGAAAGAAGGAAATAACAGGCAGAAAGGTGGCCCTTATATGTATGAATAAAAGTCTGTGCTCTGAAGGGAGTTGTCCTCCATGGTAGAGCAGGTCAGGAGGTATTTGTGAGGGGTTCTTGGCTAACATGCTGCTCTCTCTGAGCATCCCTGCTCACCCATCCCCTGATCTCCCCAGCCTGGTCTGCCTGGGCAGAGGGACCCAACCTCTGTCTCCACCTGGGCTGGGGGACAGCCCCAGGGGCACAGTGGTCCTTGACAACTGCTGGCCCCTCACCTGGATGATGTGACCTGTCTCTCTCTGTCCAGATGTGTGTCCAGCTGTGGCCTGGCTGGAAATTCCTGTGAAGCAGGCAGAGATCTGGCTCTGATGGAGGGAAAATCAGCTGTCCCAGGGTTTCACATTGCAGCTGCTCAGACTGTTGGGGAAAAGAAGAACCCAAAAACACATCTGCTGGCTGAGCAGTCACAGACTTCAAGTGCCAGTAGCTCTCCCCCACTCCCAAAACTCAGCTTCTCACATACTCAGAACAAGATCCCCACCAACACCAGCTTGTTTTAAATCTCTCAGATTATTCTGACCATGCTGGAGATGATGTGTGCCGCCTGTTTTCTGTAAAGGACCTGCTTTTTTTCTCATCCTTAGGCAAAAGTGATGATGAGGACAGCATCTGCAAGCTGGGCCAGGCCTCGGGGAAGGGCGCTGAGGACGGGAAGGATCACAAACGGCCCAAGAGGCCACGGACCATCCTGACCACGCAGCAGCGGAGGGCGTTCAAGGCGTCGTTTGAGGTCTCCTCCAAGCCCTGCAGGAAGGTACGGGGAGAAGAGCCCATGCCCAGCTCTTGGGGATGTCCTGGGTGCTGAGCATGGCCTTGCCCTACCTGATCTGACCCTTCCTGAAGTCCCCCTGAAAAGCTGAGTGGAATGAGAGATGCCGCTGTTGCTGTTCTCTCCAGGTGCGGGAGACGCTGGCGGCAGAGACGGGGCTGAGTGTCCGTGTGGTGCAGGTCTGGTTCCAGAACCAGCGAGCAAAGGTGGGTGCAGGGGGTGCCAGCACCCATTGCTGGGGCTCTCTCCCTCCTGGCTTTGGCCAGGGGATGATTTCATTCTGTTTTTTTCCCTTTCCTCTCTCCCAGATGAAGAAGCTCGCCAGGAGGCAGCAGCAGCAGCAGCAGGACCAGCAGAACACACAGCGCCTGAGCTCAGGTACCCCCTCACAATTCGGGTTTCCCCATCTCCCAGCCCTCTCCAGGCTTCGCAGCAGAGCTCAGCCACCCAAAAAACATCAGCCAATGACTTGATCTTATCTTGATCTTACCTTGCAGCCCAGTCGAACGGCGGCGGTGGCGGCACGGGGCTGGAGGGGATGCTGAACCCCTACACCGCCCTGCCCCCGCCGCAGCAGCTGCTGGGCATGGAGCAGGGAGTCTACGGCTCCGACCCTTTCCGGCAGGGGCTCACCCCGCCCCAGATGCCTGGAGACCACATGCACCCCTACGGTAGGGCTCTGGGGATGCTCTCTTCTCCTTCAAAGAGATGCTGGGTTGTGGTGGGGTCCCCTCATCCCTAAATGCCTTGTGCTACTGATGCCTTTTTAGGACTTACCTAAAAACAGAGGTCAGACAAAGTTAAAAGAATAAAAGCAGGTATTTACTGAAATACCTTTAGGTACATTAAGGCAGTCAAAAGCCCAAGGGGCTACACCCAAGATGGACAATGGTCACGAGTTTTTCAGACAGATATAAGTTTGGTCCATTTACATATCAGGGATTAATCCTCTAATTACAGCTTCAGGTAATGAAGTCATTTACCCCCAGTTTGCTCCTCCCCAATTCACTTTTGTTTACACTCTTTGGGGTCTGAGGCTGTAGGGTGTCCTTGAGTTTCAGGCCCAGAGGGATTGTTTTGTCTGACCAAAATGTGAAGACAGCAGCCAACACTCTGTATGGAGTTCAGAGTTATACACTAAAGCAGTACTGGATTTGAAAAATACAAAAGCTGAAATCCTAAGGCATCCCTAAAAAATCTGGGGGCATCAGGCACTGTGGAGGTGCTGGAGCAGGCTCTGAACCCCTCCTGTCCCTTCCTTGCTTCCCAAGGTGCCGAGCCCCTCTTCCACGACCTGGACAGCGACGATACCTCACTGAGCAACCTGGGGGACTGCTTCCTCGGCACAGCAGATGCAGGGCCACTCCAGGCACGAGTGGGAAACCCCATCGACCACCTGTACTCCATGCAGAACTCCTACTTCACCTCCTGAGCCCAGCGTGGTCCCCCCAGGAGGGGCCGCAGAGCTCCCAGGGTTGGGAGGGAAGGGAGCAGCTCTGCTGGGATGCCGTCAAATAATGTTGTAGCTTGGGATTCCCAAGGAGCGAGTTAAGTTATGGGTTGCATAGTTTCATGTTTCTCTTAGGAGCCTAGGATTAGGGACAGGAGTGGTTTTTGCAGCTGGCTGGTGGATTTTCAAATTTCAGAGGGGGACACGAATTTCTCGTTTCGGCAGGGGGAGGGGGATTCTCCTGTAGGAGCATCCCAGCACTGTATCCCACCTTTAGAAAGAGCAAACTGCTGATCTTCATGGGGAAAGCCTGCAGCATCAGCTGGGCTTGGAAATCTGAAAAGCTGACAACGCTCTGCAGAAACACGAGGGGAAAATGTCGCTGCAGGGTTTGGTTTTTTCCCCTCTGTTCCCTCAACCAGTTTGAGTGCCTGCTGCTTAAACATAGGGATTTTTAAGATAGATGTTCCCATGTGAATATAGAGAGCTAGAAACCCCTAGCATTGTCCCTGTCCCCGAGGATGGGGCTGTGTGTGTGGATGTGTGTGAGTGTGGGCACGCACGTGTGTGCGTGCAGAGCCGTGTGGCTGGGAGTGTTGCACTGCACGGCCACACCTGCCAGATTGTATCAACAAAAAGTTTATTTCTAAGTCTATCAGAAATTTACTGTACAGCAAAAGTAACTTTATTTTCAGTGTGAACCATATTTAAGGAAATACTCAATGCACTTAAGTTATAAGAGGAAATAATTTTACTTTTTATAAACGTTATGTTTAGGTTGCAAAAGCCCAGTGGCAGGGAAGGAACATCAGTTCATTTCAGGCAACAGGTCTGGGTTTTGGGGTTGGTTATTTTCCGTGTTCTCAGGTTGCCCCACTGGTTTTGAGGTGCAGTTGAAACACAGGGCAGAGCTGGGTTCAGAAACCTGCTTTTTGCCAGCAGACTGGTGTGGGCACCGTGGTGGCCAGGTCCTGCCCCACTGCTGGACGTGTCTAGGAGGTCAGTGTGGCATGGACGTGCTGGAGCTGGTGGACATCCCAGCCCATCAGGGCTCAGCCGTGCTTCTCCGCATCGCCTTTCCCTTCCCCTGCAGGTCCCAGCCTGCCTCCACCAGCGACCCCATCCCATATCCTCCAATCTGGGTGCTAGGCCGGTGTGAGCTGGTGTCCCGGCACTGGGAAATGCTGCAGCCCAAGCCCCCACCCCTCGGGGGAAGCAGAAAGGAGGGACAGCCCTGCCTTTCCCTGCCAGACCTGGGGGAACCTGGGGGAAGTTCTCCTTGGGGTGGAGCCTTCAGGTGGCCCTCACCTCACCCCCACTCTCGTTTTCATGCGTTGTGTCCTTTTGTGCTGCTGTTCACAAACGATGTAAGCGACAACCCGTAGAGACGTGCAAGTGACTGTGAGGCTGAAAACACTGGCTGGTCGCCGCCGTCCGGTCTGACACTGAATGTAGCAGGGTCTGGAGATGGCTGACCCGGCGGGAGATGCTGACAGCACTGTCAGAAATCACGCACCGAGATGAAATTAAAAAAAGACAAAAAAAAGAAAATTCTCTGTTAAAGAAAGAAAAAAAAAAAAAAAAAGAAAAAGCCTGGTGTTTTCTTGCGTGGTTGTGTCGTCTTGACTGGGAGAGGGAAGGGTTTGAGGCATCTCCAAAGGAAGCAAGATCTTGGGTAGGGTGGAGTGAGAAGGTTTTGCTTGGTGAGTTTTTGATATCAGATATCAAATATTCACAGAATCATAGACCCCGTCACGGAGTGGGTTGGAAGGGACTTAAAAGACCATCCAGTTCCAACCCCCTGCCATGGGCAGGATTGTTTTCTTTCTCTGATGTTCAGGGCAGGGAGTTGGAACTGGATGGTCTTTTAAGTCCCTTCCAACCCACTCCGTGACGGGGTCTATGATTCTGTGAATATTTGATATCAAAACCTGGGATGGTGGAAGGTGTCCCTGCCTGTTGTCACACCTTCCACCGTCCCAAGTTGCTCCAAGCCCCATTCAGCCTGGCCTTGAACACTTCCAGGGGTGGAGCATCTGCAGCTTCTCTGGGCAACCTCGGCTGGTGCCTCATTATCTTCTGTGGTCTGGGACTGAACTGGCCGCTGGAGTGTCCTCTGTGGCCAGCAGACAGAGATTGGTGGTGTGGAAGGTGAGACAGCTGTCTCTGACCCCCACCCAAGGTGGCAGAGAGGACTTGCTGGGGGTCTTCCCAGGCTCTCACCTGGACAAGCACTTCATGAACCCCAGCCCTCCACGTCAGGACAATGAGCAACTCTGTGTTAGGACTGCCTTAAAGCTATGGGTGGGTGTTTCCCAAAGGGAATTGCTCTTACCACACAGACACAGAGACGTTCCAGAAATATGCCAGCAAATGGGGATCCACATTTTCTGAGTTGTTCAAAACAAGGTGTGCTCCTTCCTGCCCGTCATCAGTCCCTGCTCTGCAGCTCCTGTGCTAGGAAATGATTTCTAATTCCAACCTGCAAAAAAAAAAAAAAATTCTAAAATGGCATGACTGTAAGAAGAAAACTTGTAATTTTTATTTCCCAAGTTGTGTAATGAAGAGCAGCCCAAGAACAGCCTGGATGCCTGGGTTGGTTTGGGGTTTTGCTGTGTCTCAAGACAGCAGCAGGGAAAGGGGTTGGTGGACAGGTTGGGGGAATTGTGGCTTGAGGTTTCTCTAACACCAGGCTTGGTGGTCTTGGAGAAATACTTGGCTGGTGAAAAGAGGGCAGATCTGGATTAGAGGGGGTGTGGAGGAGCTGCTGTGGCCCATGAAACCAGCCTGATTTGTAGGATCAACTCTATGCAGTGGCTGGGTTGACTGGCTGGGTTGACACCACCCAGGCTTGCAATGTAAAAATAGGTTTCCTTTAATGGTTATTAAAACTTCCTCCAAAATTCCTCTCACTTGGATACTTCTTAAAATGCCGTATTTAAATTTGTGGGGCTTGTTATTAATGTTTTAAAGATAAAAGGTTTTTCTCCACCTATAGCTACTTCCTGTTTGAAAAATGCTCAGGTGCATCAGTCTGGTTTTTCATCAGCCCGACTGCCAATTTACACTTGCTAAATTCCTTCCCTCAAATCAAAACCCCCATGTCATACAGACTGGTTGCCTACTTTTAAAATTTTGCAAAAATGTAATGACATCCTATAATAACAGTCTCTTGATGCAAATGTGGGTATATGTATACAATTATTATACAGAGCATGTAATTTTGGGAAAGGATCAGAATTATGGACGAGGGCAGATTTTTGTCAAACAAAATCAGGAGAATTCATGGTTTTAAACCTGTTCATCTGCCAGTTGGCCCAAGTGCTTGACACAGGCCGAACACGAGCCCAGTTTGCAATCTTGCCATGGAGTAGCAGATGTGGGTCCTCCTGTCATCTGGATTTCATATCCTCCTGCTCCTTATTTCAGGGTGTGGATGGATCCTGCCAAAGCAAAACTGGCTGGGCCTTATCTTCTGCAGGTGGTGGAGTCACTGCATGGCAGGTGACAGGCTGGGTGGGTTGTCAGGTGTCCCTTGCTTTGTCCCCCTGGGATGTCCTTTTGTGGGGCTGCTTTGCCATGCTGTGCTCCATGTCTGAGCCCACTCTCAGCTGGGGAGTGACTCCCTAGGACAGGTGATACCTCCTTGTCAAAGGCAGGAAGAAAAGAGCAAGGCCTGACGTGAAAACAGGTTCTACCTCGCTCTCCAAGGCAAGGGCAATGCCAGGAACGGGTTGGGAGCTGACCTTTGTGTCTCTACTGGCTCCAAACAAAGCTGCTTCTGTTCAAGCACTGCTCAGTGGCCAAGGAGAGATCAAGTCAGAGATTACTTGTCAGTTGAGGACGCTGATTAGATGATACTGATAGGCAGCCAGCTCTGAGTGATATTATGTTAATTAACTTGCTCTTTGTGAATGGACAGCTCAGGAGCTCGTGGCAGATGCAGCCTGGAATGAAAATCAAAATGGCATTGGCCAGTGCTGGCTGGGTTTGCAGCTGGATATTTGAGTCTTGGTGGTGTTTTTAGGTATTTGTTGGAGACTTGTAGTGCACAGACATAGGAGCTGGAGCAGGCAACCTTCCTGGAAGGATGTGACCTTGCTGTCTAGGAAAATCACCTTCAGTGAAGGGCTGGAGCCTTGCCTTGCTCTGAGTGGCCTGGCTCAGCATGTAACTGCAGACAGCAGAGCTGTGCTGGCTGTGGGCTGGAGGAACCCCAAGCCCAGCAAAGACCCTGGTGCAGATGCTGGGGACACACCCAGGTGGGAAGCCCAGGTCAGGGCTACATCTGCAGCCTCTTGCTGCCCTGGGAGTTTGGGGGCTGCTTTCTGGTGTGATGTGGGCATGTCCTAGGAGAGGAGAACCTGCAGGAGAATTTCTCATGTTCCCACACCCGTGGGTCATCTCTCTGCATGCAAGAGGTGGAGAGGGCCCAAAACCCAAGGAGCCCATAGGCAGGGTCATTTCCTGGAACTGGACGTGAGAGGTGACAAATTCTGGTTTTGTTTTTTGGTTTTGTTTGGGTTTTTTTTTTTTTTGTTTGGGGTTTTTTCAAAGCTTTTGTTGTTCCTGTCACCTTTCCAGTGTGAAATAATTTGCCAGATGTTTGGTACCTACACTGACACTCTTCTGGGCACTAAATGTCACCCATCATTAGAAAACACTTGTCTTGTGACACACGATGGGGCTCAAACCACTGAGGACCAGTGCCTTGGCTTTATGGTAGGTCTGTGAGCAAGATCCCAGGTAACACCAGCTGTCCAAAGCTGTTACTTGCATTTGCTGCATCTTTTCTTCCACTGCTGGTCATCTGGATGGAAAATTTATTTGGAAAAGGAGCAAAAAACCTCTTTATAAAATGGCGAAGTCTTGCGATGGAAAGGCAAGAAAAGGGTTAGAAGCTCCTCAGGTGTAAAAAGGTGAATAACAGCTGCTTATCTTGTTGGAGATCAGACCAAATTCTTGTCTCCATTCCTCTAAGTGGCAACTGTGTTGGCCATGAAAAGGTTATCTTGTTAGCTGTAGACCTCCTAGACACCGGT